CAGAATCGCTATCATAAAGGCAGGGAGGAGATTTCCTGATGCAGAATAAATCAGACAACTGAAAACACTGGATTCTGGCAGTGCACTTCCAAGCTCCCCGCCTGCTTTCCTCGATGACTCCTTCCCCCCCCCCCCCCCCACCCCCCCTTCCCCCCACCCATTCCGTTTACCGCCCCAAGCTACGTATTTATGAAGAAGATTGCCAGGCCCTTTCTCAGATGATAGATGAGTAAGTGTTTTTTCAGTCACAGAGTATATTAGTAATTCTATTTTTTCAGCTCTGGTTGCATGCAATAATAATAATAAATAATAATAAAGATAATTAAAATTTGCTTTTCTTCAAGTAATTTATCTTTTACTAATGAAGTGTTTTGGTTGCACATCAGAAGAGTTAGAGTAAAACTTTTTAAATTGTATCAAAAAGGATCAAACATAGAAAGCAGAATCGTAACAGGTTACGATCTGTGGTTTATTAGATTGAAATGCAGTTATCATGATTTATTTTCTTATCTGAAGGACACTTCTGGTCTGATTCATTATGCCTTTTACAAATCATGTGCGAAATCAAGTTTTATGATAAAATTCAAAATCAGTAGTAAGATTTTTCACAGCCTCATTAGCACCACTTCCTATTTCTTTGGCTCTCTAGCTCTCCACCTCCTGTTCAGACCTGCCCTCAACAAGACGACTATAGGAAATGAACTTTGTATTATGTGCTAGAGTTTAACAAACATGGCCCCCATTTAATTAAGGCTTTAGAGGGTCTCTCCAAGATGTAAGACCCAACTAAATGAAAATATTTACATTTCCATGTGGTAATTAGAAAAGGGGAATGAATTGTATAAATACCAATGTGCTGCTTTACGTGCTCGGTGCAGTTGCAACAAGACTTTCTTTCAACTTTCTTTTCCACATTTCAGGTTAAAACCGTATGCAAACGTCCAGGATCAACTCCTGGTGAATGTGAATAAGAGTTTGTGGGAAGTAATGAGAACCTGCTCTGATGAAGAGGTAATACTGCATGAAGAGATAATGTTGTTTCTTACATAATGAAGAAGTACGGTTAAGTCAGATAAAATAAGAACCAGAATGGTCACAGAGTAACAGTAGGCAGGTAGGTGATACAAGGCAAAATATTTTCTGAATGGAAAACTGCTATGAGAACTTCCAATATATCAGAAGAATGCAAGGATTTGTGCCCTTTAAAATATATTAAAGGGAATATGTTGCTATAAAACAGAAAAACTTGATGATTCAAGTTGATAATTCTGCTTAGTTGAGGGCAGAAAAGAGAAGAGGAAACTTTAGATGGGCCTAAGCAAACAGTGCAATTTTGGAAGGAAAAAATGAACTGCTCTTACTGTAGAGACTCTGTTGCTTCATTGGTGGAGCAGAATTGCCCATTAACTTAAATGCTTATTTAGTCCAGAAAGACATGCGATGTTGCAAGACATATAATGAACAGAAAATACGTGTCATTACACAAAAACAAAGCTGCATACAGGATTTGGAGTGCAACAATGGTGTCACATGCCAAAACAAAAGCTGAGGCCAGAGGGTATTTAAAGGAGAATGCTAATGATAACGGGCACAAAAAAGCATGCAAGACATTCGCATTTAAAACTCAGAAGCATTATAAAAGTATCCCAGCCAGAACTGAGAAGGTAGATCGAGATTCTGTTTTCCGTGGTTCTAATGGCAAGAATAAAGATCTATTAAATGAAAATAGAGAGTCAAAATTATAAAAGACAGTATTTTTCATAGTTCATAATTAGATAGATACAGGATATCACCGAGGCTAGGTTATTAACTAGATTCAGGAAGAATTATACTTAACGAACAATGAAAGCACCTAGAACCCTTAGCTAAGAGTAACAAATTTGAAAGCTTATTAAGCAAATCTCTACACACTGCAATTAGAATGATACCACCTAGTGGAAATAGGCAGATGGCAAACATCATAGAAAAACTTTTTGTACATTCCTCTGCAGCTTCTGGATTGACAGCTGTCAGAGAAAACATTGAACTGCATGATCTGTAGCTATGCTCTGTTAAAACAGGTTTTAAGTTTACTTCTTGTGGTTTGGGTTCTGCCTGGACTTCCGTGAGCATTTCAGTTAGCCTCCTTAACCATAATGGGGCAAGTATTCTAAATACGTCTCAAACAACTGGGATGAGAGACCTCTGATGTACTTAATGAAGGTGCTCTGGTTTTTGGTAAAAGCATCTCTTTAGTTATTTGTGCGGCTCCCTGTTTGAATAAAGATCTTGTTGGATCTTTGCAAAGAAAATCAGTTACTTGAGTAGGCAACTGTACTTGCATTAACAGGGATTGTCCAGTCTTAAATTTGTTTTGATTTGCAAGTGTCATGTAATACTGCTACTAGAGAAATGGGGTATTGGGAGGAGCAAAGAAGGGAGAAAGAGTCTAAAGGGTCGATTGAACAACCTTTTGTTGCACATTCCCATTCGCTTCTGCTTCTGTATTTTCCATTCATTGCAGCTGAAGAGCTTTGGAGCAGAATTGAACAAAATGAAATCCTATTTCACCAAGGAGAGTAAAATCTTGGCTCACAATGAGAAAGTGACATTGTACAGCAAATTACTGCAGAGCGCACAGGTAATGTGCCACAAGGCTGCAGAGGTTTACCTTTAAAAAAAAGGAACTTCTACCATATTTCGTCCGTCTTTGACTGTCAAGTGTAGAGGCCTAATTGTTGTATGTAAGTGTGCATTCGCTTGAAAGTTTCCTTCTTATTAAACGTACTCCCCTTTTATTTATAGGCGCATGTAAAACATTGGGACAGTGACTTTCTTGCACTTACACTATAGGAACTTTCTGCCTAAGGGTTTTGGCAATTAAAGTAACAGTGAAAAATTGAAGTATTAAAGGAAACGCCATCAGAAATTAGCTCTTTATACTGTAGTAATGTCAGTATTAGTAACTAACAAGGAAATGCAGAAGTAATGCATTGTGATAGGTATCAGAAATTTGTATGTGTTAAAAGCTCTAGGAATTTATTTATTTCCATGTTTTATCTCATCCCTTCATAAGAAAAGTCATTAGGAAGATACATTGTTAAGTATCTAGTACTTTCTAACGCATGGCTACTGCCTTAATGTTTGTCAGTCTGCCTCCTTGTTCTAATGACAGATTATATCAGCTTCTTTAATTAGTTTCTTAGCAAGCAAAGATCCACGTGGTGGTCCCAGAAGACAATTCAGCTTTTTAAAAAATGTCATTGACTTGAGTACAATTGTCCTATCTTAGGAACAACACGGAAAGCTACAGTCAAGAATAGAAAAGGTGGATGAATTACTCAAGGAGGCGGAGAGCTGTCTTGTTGCTCTGGAAGCAGGTATGTGTGTCCAAACCGGTGACTGATTTGCTGATTTCTCTATTTTTCTGCAGAGCTGCTGTTTAAAGGGTCAGTTCAAGATTCTGTGTTCGGTGGTTGCTTGGAATTTTACAATTCCTTTGTCACAAGTATTTGTTAGGCCTAAATGCCTTCATTTGCGTCTGCAAACTTGTCTTGTGGGAGCCACTTACATATCATATGAAAGCTAGAAGTATATCTGTGCTGAAATACAGAATTATAATTGTAGCCTATGAACATGTAACCAAGCTGGCTAAATCTGCTAGCGATAACGATACAGCTGCTGGCAGCACGCAGTTCAAAATGGCTGCAAAACCTGCCAGCGATCCTGCAGGTAGGCAAGACTAAGCTTTGCACTCCAGGACTGTTTATCAGCATCATAGCTGGATGGTTTAAAACTTGTTCAGCTGTGTTCACACAAGCTGCAGTCAGTACTTGGCATGGCTGCATGACGATGGTCTGTGTATTTTCACTCCTTTTCTTCCAACTGAATTTTCTACTTAAGTAGAAATCAAATTGCACAGTAGCAGCTTTGGAACAACGCAATGAAAGGAGTTTTCCTTGTTATCTGTTACTTTTTGAGGTTTTTGGTAGATACCCTTCCAGCTTTTTGTACATTTTTCTTAGTTAGCTTTGAAATACTAAGATTTATAGAACTCACAGACAAATAAAATGGAATCTAAGTATTGATTCTGGGAGTTCTGCAGAAACCTGAAACTTCTTTCCCATAGATTCTGACTGGGAAGAATGGGAAGCAGACTGCAGTGATGAAATGGCAGAAGGGAAAACCCTAGGGGAAGGTAATGGTACCAGCTGAATGGCACTTTTTGTTTTGTTTTTTAAATTCTGGAGAGGGTGATACTCAAACCCACCGTGATACATTAATTCTGATATGGATGCAAACACTGCTGCTTTCTTTTCCACATTGGATATAGCTAATTACACAGATGTTAAAGTACAAAAAAAAGGACTGTTCTTCCCCCTGGAAAAATGGAGTTTAGAACTTGGTGTGTGCTGGCTATCATATTCAGCACTTTAATTGTTCAATAATTACTAACCTTTGTTGACAACATATCTGTATCCAGGTAGGAGTAACAGCCATCAAGTTGATGGCTTTCATATTGTTAAGAACAGTGACTGCAGCGCAAGTTAGGGCTTTCTTTGCTGCTCTTTTCTCTCATTGCTTTTTTCCCTTTCTCTTAGAATTGGAAAGCCTCAGAGCCCAAGAAGAGGAACTTCAAAGGTAAGATGTCAAAGAGGATCTAAAGACCTTAAATAACGTGCACATTCAGGTTTTAGAGGGTTGGTGTTTTTTCAACCAGTGTGCTACATCTCATGTGGTTGGTTTATCTTTGCAGAGAACTGTCAGATCTGGAGACTCAGAATGAGCAAATGCTTGCTCAGATGAACCAGCTAAAGGAAAACGAAAAAAGCTGCCAGGAACTCCTGGAGAGATACGAGTAAGGAAAAGACCTTCAGGTTTTATTTTTATCAGCTAGTTCTGGGGCCTCACATTCGTATATAAATGGTTTTGATTCTGGTTTTCCTTGTTATTTGATTTGGGAAATCTTTGGACGCCCATCTCCTCGCAGCCTAGGATAAGCAATAGAGCCTCGGTGAACTTCCATGTGTGATACACTGTTTTTCTATTAACAACTTTGCAGTGATACTCTACGTTCAGTCTTTCTATATCCAACACTCTTCCAATTCCAGAATGAACATTTATGTAAAATGAATAGTATTATGCTTGCGTTCCCAACAGATTCCTACATTCTGTTGAAAAGTGAAAATTTCACTGGTATATCATGTGGTAGTAGCTGCAAGTGCACTTAATGCTCTGGTCTTTGTCCTTCAGATAATTGTGTTGGTTGGTTGAAACTTAGGATGGTTGTGTTTTTCTCCCCCCCTTTTTAGCTTCACTGAGTGGGAGATTACTGAATGGAGTGAACAGCGGGCAGTCTTTAATTTTCTTTATGATTCTATTGAACTCACAGTTGTGTTTGGACCCCCAATAGGTAAGTCACAAAATTGGTAGGTTTCAGTTTTATGAATTTGAAAGGTTAAATAGTTACACAATGGAAACCTAAAGTTTCTATATTTTGTGAAGATCTGCTAAAAGGAAATAGAAAACATACTACAGCAGGAGCGTGTAAGCTGAGAGAGATGGCTTTGAACATGTTTATCAGTGCTGTCTATGAAAATTCAGAAAAGTATGTAATGAATGGCTGTTTCTGAAAAGGAAGAGCTGTAGCTCCAGAATTAAGTATGGAAATAGCTACTGTGTGGGTTTTTTCCTTTCCTTCTCAGATGGTGATGTTTTCGGTGAAGATCCTTCCAGAAAGATAGTTAGCCTGAACTTTGAATCTCTCTTGGATGGTAAGGTTTTTCAAGTAGCTTGAAAGTAACTGCCCTGATAATCTGTTCTTGGGAAGACATCTGTAAATTTGTGGTTTATCTGCAAAATGCATTACTGTACGGCTTTTAAAAGATTTCTGGCAACATGTTTTTCTTTTGTGTTACAGAGGAAAAAGCTCCACCCTCCTCATGTTTAGTCCAAAGACTCATCTTCCAGTTTATTGAAAGTCAGGGATGCTGGCAGGAAAAGTGTCCCACACTGTACTACTTGCCCCAGGTAACATTCCAGGAAAGCCTATAAGACTCTGGAAAAACATTAAATCTTTTCTGTCACAGAGAATAGGGCTGATACTGAGAACAAAAGCATCTTAATGAATGCTTCATCAATGCAAATCAAAATCTGCTTCATGAATATTCTGAGGTGCAAGGGGAAGTACCTGTCCCTGAAGGCAAGAGTCCTAAAAGCTGTGGTTTCGTCCTTGTTTGCTGCATTAATGTCTGCCTTAGTGATTTCTTAAAATCCTTTTTTTTTTCTGCTAGTAGAAATTAAAGAATTGAGCTGAATGCCATTCTGCTTTCTAAATGGTTTAAACTGCCAAGCCAACCTTGGTGTTTCTGCATGTCTGTGTACCCCTGTTGACAAAGCTGAAGGGAGAAACTTAGGGCAAAGAATGTATATTTGTTGTTACGCTTGTACAATTTCATTTTCACATCCAAACTGAGATAGCAGTTAAACCTCTTTTTTTTTTTTTTTTTTTTTTTTGTATACTTTCTAGGGTAAACTGCATTTTCAAGTGTGTCATAGTTTACCAGCCTGAGTGCCAATGTGATTGCTTTTCTGATTGCCCACTTAGGTTCTTCATGACATCTCTTTGGTGGTGAGTCGTAAACCACCCCTTTTTTTTTTTTTTTTTTTTTTTTATACTTTCTAGGGTAAACTGCATTTTCAAGTGTGTCATAGTTTACCAGCCTGAGTGCCAATGTGATTGCTTTTCTGATTGCCCACTTAGGTTCTTCATGACATCTCTTTGGTGGTGAGTCGCTGCAAGATCTTAGGAGAGGAGATTGAATTTCTGGAGAGATGGGGTGGAAAATTTAATCTTCTGAAGACAGATATCAATGACACAAAGTGAGTGACTTCAGATGGAGTTTACACCAGTCCTTCAGAGAGTGTCTAGATAATCAGGAACAAAACACTGAAATACTTTCAATTTGGTTTTCTTGAAACTGAGATTTTATGCCACTACTTTCAACAACAATCTAATTTATTTTAATACAATTGCACTATAATATTTAAGTGCATGGAAATTAAGCTGTTCTTGGATTCGGACACTTCCTTACTATCATATAACCTCTCCTTCCTTGCTGCTTTGCTGTTTGACTTGACTCTCTCACTTAAAACTTTAGGCCAGAGTGTAGCAATGCAAAGGAAACAGCCAAGAGTTTACCTGTAGCTTAGTGTTTTGTTTCTTCTATTTGCTTCAGCCAAGCAGAATCGGTCATTGCAGGACGAATGCACTTAAACTAAACTTTAATTTTCTTTAGTTTTCATTTTCTCATAGTACTTCCCAGTTTTGTGGCATGTCCCAGCGGAACGAGATAAATACTACTTCACCTTATCCTTCTATTATTGATGTATGTCCTTAACTAAGAAGTGCCCAGTTAACCTTGCTCTGCATGCCTTGATGCTGTTCCCATAGGTTATTCTAACTTGTAGTACCCTTTGCAAGAGTGGTGTTCTACTACATGCCAAAAATCCCATAAAAGCTATATTTAGTTAAGTCAACAAAACAGATGCAAGGGCGGCCTGTGCTCAGGAAGTTGCACATTGTGGGAGATTTACCTGGCAAAGACCCGTGTTACGCTCGTTCTAGTTTACGCTATCCCAAAGCATCTGCTTCCTGGGCATTGTGTCCTTGGTGATGGTCTTGCCCATATTTACAATAAAATTCAACTCTGGCCTTCCTGCATATTGTCATAGACAAGAGTACTGTGCTAGATAGAAATTTGGCCTGATTTAAATAGGGTTGGATTCATGAAACAATCTTAGAATTGTGGAATTGGAGGTAAATCAGTCCTACTTAAAACTTCAGAAAATGTTAGCCACCTAGGAATATTTTATGTTAACTAGAAAACATATTTTTGATTACTACTTTATATTCTCCCATAATTTTTGAAAGGTTCTGTGAATTATGTGTGTATTAACTTTTTCTGCAAGGAAAGTTGGGGTTTTGTATTCTAACTCAGTGTTAGAATGCTGATAGTATTAGAGTGGAAAGGTTCTTTTAACCTTATTTATGACTTTATTTATGAAGTAACTGTTAGTCTATGCTGGAACTCTTTAGAAGTTATTGAGCTTGTTGCATCAATTACATCACTTGTTTTCACTTCTGGAATCTAATTCAAAGGTGGTGGCAGTACATTTGAATATTTTGTATTCATCTTTTTGTTTGTGTTTATTTTGCATACAGAGTGAAGCTTTTGTTCTCCGCTTCCACAGCTTTTGCAAAGTTTGAGTTGACCCTGTCTCTATCTGCCAACTACCCGTCTGCTTCACTGCCTTTTACTGTCCAAAACCAAATTGGGAATATTGGGTGAGTTGAACAGAAAAGAACCACTCCATATGACTTAAGTTTCAAAGCTAGGGATGGGGAATTTATTGTTGTGTATCCTCTCAAACACGTGTGATCATTTTATCTTTCCCAGGGAGGAGGAAATTTCTGCTGTTCTGTCCAATGTACCGATTGGTTACCACTATCTGCGGAGAATAGTCAGCTTGATTCATCAAAATTTGCTCCAGGATCCCAGATGATTCGCTAGATCCGCATGCAGGACTGAAGAAGTCAGACTGGATAGTCTTCGATTTTAGTCTTGTAAGAATTCAAGCTGTCTCTCACCAGAATGGGAGTGCTGTTAGCTACTCAGCTCTTTAGTAATCTTGTCTAATAATTGGTTGATATCCAGGGTACTTGGTGTAGGCTACAAGTTTTTATAAAACCAGAGGTCTCTAAAGAGGAAAAGGGAGAATTTCTTATGTCTTTTATACATCCAATCTGCCTTTTATCTTCTTTCAGTCACCGGTGGTCTTGGCCTCCTTGTATATATAGTCTTTCCTAGTATGGATATTCTTCTGACATAGCATGTTAATTTTGTTCTGGGTTGATTTACAGAGCTGTTGTATAAAACAATGATGAGTATTTTCTAAATTAACACGACTGGAATTTACTTTCACTATCATCACTTACATCGTAGCATTTTAACATATCACGTTTGATTTTTTATCAGTTTCCTGGAACCCCTCCCAAAACACAGAAACTATAGTCCTGCTTCTTTCTGATTAACCAAATAACCTGTCATAATTAACCAGGTGGCCAAAGTCAGAAATACTTTTGTCATGAAGACTAAAGATCCCTGTGCTTGACCACAGACTTTGCGGTGCAACAGACTCAAAGCCATCAGGTTCCATCTGTGCGATCCTCTCCAACTAGAAGTTTGTTCTGATACTCAGCGTCTTTGTCCAGTACAATCTGTCTCTTGGTTCTGGTATGTTGTCTGAGTTTGTAATGCGTTAGAATTTTAGTGAGGAGACTGAGCCATTTAAATTTAGGAGGTATCCGTCATATCGTTGGTGCAGTCTAGATTGCTTTTGTATATATTTTGTATATTATGTAGGTTGAGCTGTTGGAACTGATCTAACCCTGACTGAGTTTATCGTGTAGAAGTGCCTACCATTTCTCAACTGTCCATTCTGTAGGCAGGTGCAAATTTTTGTATCTCTGTAAAATATGTTGAATTTAAAAATGTTTTCATGTGTTTAAGTGTTTATATATTTTTGTCTTTTTACAAATTTTCCTTCTATTTGGAAGGTCGAAGTTCATTAAACATTTGAATTGTTGCTCTTCCTTCTTCAAGTTGTGATTATCGGCTGCTCGATTTAAACTTGTGACTGAAAATTTGCCTACTACTATTGAAATAACTTTGTTAGCTGTTTGGGAGGGCTTTTCATAATATGAACTTGTATTTTTTTTTTCCTTGCATTTCCTAGTGTTAGCTTTCTATGGCCTGGCTTTCGCAGAATAATTTTTTTTTTTTTTTTTTTTTAATTGGGAAAATAGTGCCTAAGTTGCAAATGACTTGGGTATTATACCTGGAATGACTTTTGAATTTCCTAAGGTCGTTGTATCAGCATTAGTAACCAGTAGAGGGTGCTGCAGCAGTACCTCATGAGCATTATTCAGCTCGGGCTTTTTTAGTTGTCTGGTTTAGTTTTCTTTCAGCATATTTACAAGCTAAAGAATATGATAACTATGAAGAGTGAAGTGAGTTTTTGGTAGGATTTATTATATTGCTCTGGATATTGAATCAAAGCAGCAGCAGATGAAACAACGCAAAACAAAGCCATGCATTTGCAGTAGAAAAAGGAGATTAGGCAGAAATTAAGCAGTTCCAGTTTTGTATTTAATTTATATTTGTAGTTGATACTCTTATTTAAACTCCTCCCAGGGCATTAGGACTTAAAGATCATAACATCTCTCATCTATAGGGCTTGATGTATTAGTTAAAATCTTCATAGAGATAATATATTTACAAAAACTGTATTATTTTGCAAGCCAAATTTTGTTGAGAATGCCATTACTAAAGCTTTTCACACACAGTGCTTATTGTAACCATTGCTCAATCATAAAGCTGGATATATAATGTTAGAGAACTCTCATTTCCTTCAACAATCCAGTGCGATTTGTGGAGTAAAGCTCAGATTAGATCTCAAGTTATGGCTGTACCATTTTTAAGGATGGGGGAAAAGGTGTAAGGGAGAAGAAATTAATTACTTTTCAAGAATTAATTTACTTTTCTAGGAAAAAAAAGTCTATAGATTATTCTTATTTCATATTTGGTAATATACTAGCTGTGAAAGAATGAGCACTATCGTGTTTTCACACTAATACAGTTGGAATGTTGTTTTGACTATGGCTTTCTTTAATGATTAGTTTATGGATATCAGTAATAGTGCACATTGTTTTATTGCATTTAATTTAAAGCACTTGTTCTTGTAAATCTGGAGATCATCCATGAGCACTGATGCCCCGGCATAAGTGTGAATCCCAAGAGAATGTCAACCGCACCCAAGTTCTAATACGTTACAGGAAAAGAATCTTTTACGGTCCTTCAATATTGCTCAAGACTGATATCTTTCTGTATATATAAATGCAGAAGCCTCTTGTGATCTCTGTTTTGTCTTCCTAAATGCATATTAAATTCTTTAGCTCATTGGCAAAAGGTTAAATAATGAGGATGCAAATTACTGTGCATTACTAGTAATACTCTGCTTTCATGTTCCCAACCTTCGTTTTCATGGGAAACATTCCAAAATCTGGACAGAGGATAGAAACACTAGTGGGGAACGTATCCATTTAAACATATGGCAACGCTTTGAGGAATGTCCAAAAGTAAAATGAGTGATTGATCAGTTTTGCACTTTAGAGTAAGATGAAAGGACAGTCTAGCGCTAAAGCAAGTGTTTGGCTAGCTCAGGAACTGGAGTAAAATTCTGGTGTTGAATCAACTGATTTGCTGTAGTGCTCTGTCTCCGAGTCCAGGGCATCTACCATTTGCAAACCAGGTTCTCTGAAGGGCATCGTTGCTTCGCATTGTTGAAATAGCTCCATGTTTCTAAACCTGAACTCTGCAAAACACCAAGTAATTTCTCCCTTGCAGCTCTAGTGCTACTTCAGTTGCAGCAACGGAAGCTACTAACGCCTATGTCTGATATCCCAGTGTTTCCAAGAACTACAGGGGAAAAAGACTTCCGAGTGGAAAATAATTTCTAAATAGGATATTTATACAAGATAAGCCACTCTGAAGACACAGCAGGTAAATTCAAATTAACCGTTAGATATGGAAGATTTAGTTACATTTAACAGCTTAGACTTGCACACGAGCTCATCTGCTTTAATTCTAGTAGCTTTTATTTGTGAAGTTTTAAAATACACGACGATTGGATCTAAGTCAGTAGAGGGACCATAAAAAATATTTCCTTGGGTATGAGAAGTGCTCCATATATTTCAGTCTATACTGTGCACTTGGATACCTATATTTACTTAGAGTTCTATAGAGACCGATAACATTTCCTTTTAATATTCTTTTACTGAAAGTTGGCTCTGCTGTCTTGTTAAGTCACTTGAAGTTCTGTTCAGGTCGATACGGGATCTTAGAATTAAAAACGCCATCTTCTGCCATCAGTTGTAAACTGCTCTTAACATTCCTTGACCTTACCATGCAAATGGTTACAGGATTTCCATTATGAATGCCAATCGCATGCTGTTCCGTCAGCTTCTGCTGCTGGGTTAGCAAAGTCCAGTAATGAGCATCACATGTCCAATATCCCAATGGCATGCTGACATCTTGAGCTGGGCTGGCTTGTATTATAAGAAGAAAATTAGGATTATTTTCTGAATGCTGCTTCTTTCTAAGTATTTTTCCTCATTCCCTTCTGTATGGCCCATGACTGCGACTAATGATCCATTTTTCTCTGACCTTGAAACCTAGTTTTGGGAAAAGAGCTTTCTGTAAAGAGGCTCGTGCCTTCCACATTGCTTGTTCTGAAAACCCCCGGTGTGGCTTTGTGGTGGTAAAATGTACTGTGCAAATAGTGCTTGCATTCACAACTCCATAATCTAAACATCTATGTATTTTGAGTGTTTATTGACGTGTGTTGTCATGTTACAGACACACGTGCCCCATCACTTAAGGCCAGGCAACCTATTTTTCTTTGTGTGTTATCTGTTATGGGTAAGATGGTTTCTGCCTGCATGCAAGTACAGAAGTTGGAGCACATCTAACGGCTGCAGTCCTCTGTCGCTGGACTCATTTATTGCGGCGAGCCTTCTTCAGCTGTGTCTTAAGGCTGATTACCCCCCTACTCTCCAGGATGGCTTATGGAGCTTGTCAATGGATTCTCGCAGAATTACTTTTCATCCTCATACAACCTGTAAGAATCCTCTTGCTTCCAGCCCACACGATCTTGTAAACATGGATCCACGGAAGACTGGGAGATGGAACTGCAGAATTTCCTGCTCAGAGGCTGCGATGATCTCATTTGATTTGGAAACACTCCGCTGTCACAGGCGGATACCACCTACCTTAACCTGAAAAGCTCTGGATTTATCAGCCACTCTGTTACAATACTGAGGGAGTGAGTAAAAACCACCTTTGCCGGTAGAAACAAACACCTTTTGCTTACCTACCCGCTTCCACACAGCTTCATATCCTTTTAACAGGTGGGCAGGATATCGGCCCTGTGTACAGTAATCAATAATCTTCAATGATATAATAAAAGTCCCGAGCCGGGGTAGGCTTTTCTAATCATTTTCTTCAATAATGGGGCAGCACTGCATCAGAGCCTACTGCGTGTCCTTGACCAGTTATTTGTTGTAACAGAGAAGCTACTGGTAAGTCAGTCGACCTCCTCTCAAAAATCCTGTGCTCGTTTAATCCTTGAGCTCTAAGGATCGACAGGGAAGTCAAACAGTTTACACCCTTGGACGGTGTGGGACAGTGAGCTCTCAAGTCATGAGGCATTTTGTGCAATCACGGGGTCAGGCACCGGAGGAGGGGCAGGAAACAGGCTCTCGTCACCTGTGAACAGTTCATGTCCAGATCTCCATCTCTTTTCACTTGGTCTTGCCCATGTGACGGAGGACAATTAATGTAATAATTACGTGCACTATGATGTGCATTGCCGTACACCCTCAGGGGTACAAATGGACAAAAGGTCTTTACCTTGTTTTCTAGCTAGTCACGATACAGCGCACG